AGAGATCTCATATCACAACTTGAGGTTCTGGGTTATTCTTTTTGAGCATCAGATGATCAATTAGCAACAAAGTTAGCATTAACATACAAGATCAAGTTCTTCATAAAAAACCCCAAAAATGGTCATTCTTCCTTCTCCCATCATTACTTTCTAGTTTATTTCTTTTTGTTTGCATAAATCTGAACAAAGGAAATTATTATACTTTGAACTCTAACTTAAAGGTTATTTATTTTAGAGTTCATACATTTTTTGAAGATAGCAAAGGGCATATCTGTTATTTATTTCTTTTACTCTACAACATATTGCATATAAAAATGCCCATTTTATTGTACAAGTTGATGTTTATAGTTTCTATCCAAGCTACTCTAGTTACAATGCAACTCACTCATTCATCTCTTTTTTCATGATTGTATAATTGTCATCATCTCCATCTAGTTCTTTTGGCTTGGTTACAGAAGATTCATTCTTGGACTTTACTAGAGGTATCAAGTTGCATAACACCTATTCATTTATACTGGTGGTTGTGTAATTGTGATCTTGGGAGTACCATTATCACCCCACTCTTTTGGCTTAGTTGGGGAAGCTTTATTTCTAGACTTTGCCAGAGAAAAGCTTGTAGTTCATCCTTAGCAGAGGGAGCACCATCATTTCCCCACTTTTCCAACTTAGTTGGGCAAGCTCTATTTCCAAACTTTGTTGGAGAAAGCTTGTAATTCATCCTTACCAAAGAAGAAGAGAATGGAACACTTTGCTTCGCTTTTTTGACTTGTATGGGGAAGTTGTATTATAAAACTTTGCTAAAGAATTTTGTGCAACTTATCTTTGCTGATCGAAGGGAGATGGCTCATGATACGTAACCTTTTTCCATGTGAAACGGGTGCAAGCCAAAAGAACTCTCCTCATCTCCCATAAAGGGCATCCTAATCAACTTCCACATCATTATCATTGCTGATTCATCAACCCTTACCCTAACAACAACTACCTAATTAAAATAGGATTTGTGTCATTGATTTTGAAAATGAAGTTACCTTTTATATTTTTCTATACTAATTAATAAAAAAATACAATCAATATATTTTTAACCAATACCTTTTATAAGGTTAAACAAATCCTTAAAAATAATCCTATTGTATTAATTACTCATAAAAGTTTCCTACAATTAAAAACTTCAATGCCATGGTGTCTCTTTAAAATTGTATGGTGAGCATAAACAAATAAAATGGTGTATTTCAGATTTAAAAACAATGACCTTGCCTTACAAACATTTAAGTATAAATTTAATTGGGGAAAAGAAAAAATTATAACGTCCTGACATTAAAAATATCAAGACATTCAATCATAACCATTAAATGTGTGGGTTATAGTGTGTACCTTAGTTTTATTAAATATGGTTGTGATTGGACATCATGAAATTGAAAATGCCAAGGTATCATGATTTTTCATTTTCTCATTTAATTATACTTATTATTACCTAAAGCATCTAAACTAGTATGGGTGCCTCTAGATTTCACTTCTACAAGTGGTTGTCGAGACCAAATACTTCCTAAATAGAGTTTATTCAAATCTTATTTAATAATCATTACATGGTTACATTAACTTGCACAAT